GGAGGGCGGCCGGTACCAACCCTCCACCTGCGAGCCCCGGTCCCGCACCGCCGTCATCATCCCCCACCGCAACCGCGAGACCCACCTGGGCCACCTCCTCTACTACCTGCACCCCTTCCTGCAGCGCCAGCAGCTCCAGTATGGCATCTACGTCGTGCACCAGGTGAGCCCGGCAGGCACCGAGGGCTTTGCCGGGCACTGGGCTCGTGCCAGGGGCTGCCGCTGCCAACCGGCTTTCCCTGCAGGCGGGCAACTCCACCTTCAACCGGGCCAAGCTGCTGAACGTGGGGGTGAAGGAGGCACTGAAGGACGAGGAGTGGGACTGCCTCTTCCTCCACGACGTCGACCTCATCCCCGAGAACGACCACAACCTCTACACCTGCGAGCTTTGCCGGGCACTGGGCTCGTGCCAGGGGCTGCCGCTGCCAACCGGCTTTCCCTGCAGGCGGGCAACTCCACCTTCAACCGGGCCAAGCTGCTGAACGTGGGGGTGAAGGAGGCACTGAAGGACGAGGAGTGGGACTGCCTCTTCCTCCACGACGTCGACCTCATCCCCGAGAACGACCACAACCTCTACACCTGCGACCCCTGGAACCCCAAACACGTCTCCATCGCCATGAATAAATTCGGATACAGGTGGGTGACTGCGGCTGTGGGTGGGCCGGGAGCGAGGGGACTGGCCCTGGCCTGGGCTCAGTGTCTGCCCCCTCCTCTTGCAGCCTGCCGTACCCCCAGTACTTCGGGGGGGTCTCGGCTCTCACCCCCGACCAGTACATGAAGATCAATGGTTTCCCCAACGAGTACTGGGGCTGGGGTGGCGAGGACGATGACATCGCCACCAGGTAGGACGCTGCGGGGACCTGCCGGTCTCACCATCACCCGCGTTCGTGTCCCGCCGGGCGGTGCCGGCCGCTTGCGGGGCCCTGGGATGGCATCACCACGCAGGACGAGCGCGTGGGGGCTGTTGCTGCCGCACAGGGGGGACACACAGATGGCGTCCCCGCGCCCTGGCACCCTTGGGTGACGCGGGGGCTCGTCTGCAGGGTGCGCCTGGCAGGCATGAAGATTGCCCGCCCGCCCATCTCCATCGGCCACTACAAGATGGTGAAGCACAAGAGCGACAAAGGCAACGAGGAGAACCCCCACAGGTCGGG